TGGGACAAGGACCCACCCCACAGGTGCCTTCACGCTGTGAGGAACCCTGTCGTCTTCGCCCGAGTCCAGCAGTTCCCAAGAACCCAGGTCCTCTCTCAAGACACCTCCCTTGACAAGAGCTCAACAAAGGGCTTCTAGTTGATGTATATCATAAAACTGTGTAAACTGTATGCATTTAAGTTTCCATGTATCATGCCAGCCCTGAAAATGGGTTCCTTCAGTGACCAGGTTAAGAGGGTTGAGCAAACGTAGCCTTCATGTGTCCTGGGAAACCTAGCTGACTCTCCTCTGCTGTCCCCTCCCTCAGTTTGGCTTAAGAAGAGATGAGTTTGAAGACTTGGTGGGCCAGGAGGGGAGACATCTAGGATTCTGCTGAATGTCAGGGAATTCAAAGACAGTTATAAGCTTGGCTACTGATTTTTCTGTTTTTAACATGATCAGAAAACAAGAGATGGCTCTCCAGCCTCCATTTGAACCCATCCAGAGAGGGGAGCACCCCCCCCCCCATTACTGGTCCTGCTGAAAACATGATCAAAAAACAAGAGAAAGCATATTCTATACTTTTAGCTGTTTCTGTCTTTGGAGGGGAAAAAGTCCTGACATTCCTCCAGCTGCAAAAGACGGGTCAGAGTCATTCACACTGCTTGACTCCAGCTGGCTTTTATTCCTATTCCTCACCCTCACCGTGAAAGGATTTAGCTCCACACCACCCAGAAGGATTGCATGCCTGTCCTCTATTGGGTCAACCTACCTGTTCAGGTAGTTGAACCAGGAGTTGAGCATGACTAATTACAGCAGGTGTCAGCCTCTAGCTCAGGGGGTCTTAACCTGGGGTCCATGGATCCCCTGGGAGTCTGTGGATAGATTTCAGGGGGTCCATAAACCTGGATGGGGAAAAATGACAACTTTATTTTCATATATATTATTCTATTGCAGTGGTTTTTCAACCCTTGCTGCGTGGGAAAAGATTTGGGTCGCTTACTCCCCCCCCATCCACCCCCACCCAACACCGAGG